GGTGCACAAGGCGAATAACATGAAGAAGGAGAGCAAGAAAGCAAGCAATGCCGCTTAGCAGGAACAGGCCCCAAAAGCTTTTCAGTGGCAGGCGGTCTACTGCTTGCTTTGTTCCTTGCGCGCTACAAGCACTCTTCATCAGCCACTTGTCATGAATCTTCTGGAGATCCCCCTTCTCTGATAGTTTCAGCAGGGCGGTTGACATGTCAGCTGCCAGTGGCGAGTCCCGTGGAAAGGCCTAAAATGCATGAAAAAACCAGCCAACATGCAATCAAAACAATGTCATTTTGTGTTTAGCAATGGTATGTTATAGGGAGGATGATCAAATGAAATAAGATACTTACAAATCCCCAGCCCATTTTGGTGAATTCTTGACCTACAATGCTATATCCGCATCGAACAGAGAGGAAGAGCTCCATGTAAGTGCGCTCGTCAACAATTGCAGCAACACCGCCTGCGCTAGGGCCATCTTCCAAGGCCTTCTCATATTCTTCTGGTGAGTTAAGGGGCACAAGTCTGGACCTGTGTATTTTTAGCTCGTCTGTCAAGTATCTTTCAGCAAATGAACCGTTCAGGAAACCAATGGGATCATTTCCTGTTGCTAAACTTTCAATGCCTTTAATGGGGGAAGAAAGCTGCTCCACTGTGAGGATTGAGGTCAGGCTTGCAATGTAGCTTGAGTTGATTAATAGAACTACAAATAGCCATATAATTAACACAAACCGACCAAGCGTGCTGACAGTGTTTTCTTCTGCATATGTTACCAAGGAATAAGATCAGTCACTTGTATGTAATGCGTAACATATTTTTCTTTGTGCATGAACAAGTCAAGCAGTATGGACTTACTGTGGGAAAAGAACCAAGTTGAAAAGCTAAACCTGCAGAACTCGAAAGAAAAATGTTATATACTCCATTTGGGAGCCTTAATTGAAGAGGTGAAGATAAACTGACTCAGACAACGTATACTCGAATTTGCATCAACATTAATCAAAGCAGCATTTGGATATATGGATTAGAGTACTAACCAAACAACAGTCACAAATTGTTTTCTTGGAGGTCCCCGGAAATCCTCGTTCGTTCTGTGCTCCAAAATCCAAACAACTGCTCCCACACCTAGGAAGAAAATACATGTGATACCCCACATCATTGGAGTGAAAGGTCTCAAAAATGCCCAAGCACTAGAGTTCAACTTCCTTATTGGAGCAACTACAACTAGCCCAGACTCAATATATGGCTGTGTAAAATCCGCCATCTTTGTTCTGCTAGTGGTGATGGTAATATCTCCTACTAGACCGTCAAGTTCCTGCATAAAGATGGACTTACGAAGAGCTTAATATATTCACACGACAGCATACTGTATATTATTAATCTTTTGGAATGTATACTCACACCAGTTTGGATCTTGTGCAGAAGTTCACTTGGTTCTGTATTTATTTTACCATCCCCGAAAAGGACAAACTTATATGGGACGCCATACGGTAACTCATTTAGTGCAGCTTGAAATACCTCAACGCAAAAGCCAGAGACATCAGTGCCTTTTACACTCGCAAACTCACGATAACTAACTCGATTTACGACTGCAATCCTCAGCTTTTTTCCGTTTTCTGGGAAAACCCACCCACGAGGCTTCTGAGTTGTTTGTCCCGGCCAGATAACGCTGTATAGTTGTTGACTACTTGTACTGGAACCATTAGATTGCTTCTTCCTTTGGGGCTTCTCTGGAGGGTCAACTAAAAGGCCAGAAGAATTAGACCAATATCCAACAGTCCTGGTCCCTGTGCCAATCACATTGATGACTTCAAATGCAGGATTGATTAAGTCCCCATCTGGATTAAACTTAAGTGGCCCTGTTACACCAGTTGCATTAACCTCTAAAATGCTTTGAACCAACTGGCTGCCTTCATTAAAGATGCACACCTTTCCTCCACGTAAATCGCTTACATTGGAGTCATTTGAAAATGAGACATTCCCCGCACGAGCCAAAAATGAATCAATGGCAAGAGCAAGAAGCCATACAGAGTCATAGGCGTATAGACCATGCATATTTAGCCCAAAAGAAGAGCCATTAAATCCTCTCACTCTTGTCAAGTTGCCCCACCGCGATTTAAATCTTGTTTTGAGTTCCGACTCTGGTGTGTACATACGCAATGTAAGAACCCCTTGAACGTCCTTTGTTGCCAGTAAAGGTAGGGAAGGATCTGTGTCTAATATGGTAGACAACCAATCAGTAGCAATCCATACATATCCACTCCCCATCATCATGAGGTTTTGTGCTTCACTAAATACTCGTAGACCCCAATTAGTGTAAATGTGGACGATGAGAATCCGAGGCTCCATTGAAGACACACTAATCAGTGCTTTAGTGATATCATCTTTTGTTGCTTTGGGGTTCAGAGGCACTTTGTATGAAATTCTACACCGCTTTTCAGCTAGCTTATCCCCTAAGGCAGCAATGGCATTTCTCCCAAAATCATCATCTACGTAAATTGCTATGACTTCTCTCCACTCATAGAAGGCAACAAGGTCTGCCACTGCAGTCATCTGAAAGAGATCACTTCGTGTTGTCCTAACCAAGAAAGGGAATTGAACTGGAGAAAGGGTGGGGTCTGTTGCCGAAAATGATAATAAAGGGACTTTTAGGTCATTTGCAATGTGCGAGAGCATACGAGCCGTAGCTGAGAATTGGGGACCAATTATGGCCACTGTGTCATTCTCCATAAACTGCAAAGCTGTAAGGAAGAGGAAAAATTATAAGCTTTTCAATTAGATTCTATGACTTGTGCAAAGGAACTTCTTAAGATACACGAGGAAGTTTGGAAGTTTGTACCCAGATCAACAATTCCAAGAAAGTCATTAGATCCGGTGTTCTGCATTTTGAGTGTCAGCTTTGTTCCATTGAGAATTTCAGGATCAGAATTGACATCTTCAATTGCAATGGCTATTGCAAGTTTTGCAATTTTTCCAATTATAGAATCGAAAGTGATAATAGCACCAATGTTCACAACATCAGGTCTTGCAGCAACATTAGTACTAAGTGCACTAGAGGAAGAAGCATTATGGAAAACCATAAATAGCAGAAGCAAGGCTATGATCATGGTGGATTGCACGCTGCGAAAAACAGCTTAGTAGGTAACAGTAAGTGGACATGCTCCAAAAGACAGATTACTGGTTCATAATTAAAACACAAGAATATATGATGTTGTCCAAATATGTAACAAAGCAGTAAAATAAAAGGGCATAAAGAAAAGATGGGTGAACCTTACATTTTTTCTGTTTCAAGCCAAATATGCAAGAGATCTCAACAATTGGATGGTACAAAAGAGCTTAGGTCCAGAATTGCATGTGTTGTTCTGCACGATGCCCAAACGGTTGTGTAAACACAAAAGCAACAACGGTAAGTTAACCAGAGCTACCCAAGAATTATAAAATGTGCATTGACCAGGTGTGAATTGTACAGGACATGGTTTGAAACTCGCAAAGTAGAAGACAGAAAGGAACAACATCATTATGGTATCAAAAAAGTTGCTTACTGCGCTGAAGTGGATCTCTACAATATGGATAGGAATTTTCTATGCTCATACATACAGTACATTCATTTTATGGTATAAAGCTTTAAAGTTTGATTAAAATGTACAGGATAATGGACGTGAATCCTGATCTGATTCTGATATGATTTACTTGCCCAATTATATGTATTTATTTACTTGATTCTTGTATTTACGTCCATCAACACCAAGAACCAAACTATATTCATTCTAAACCCCCAATTTTCACCTTGCTTTGCAAAGGAAGCACACCGGCCACCCAGAAAGCGGTAGAATCAACTTGACTTCAAACTCATACACTGGCATAGTTAAGAAACACCGAAAAATAAACAAGCAACTAAGAATTTCATCCAGTAACATGAAGAAAACAACTAGGTGCTGAAAGAGTATTTAGACGAAAGCTCAACATCATAAACTCCACAAGAAGTAGATAAATAATTAGAAATTCCCACTAATTACTAGATCTAATCATGAAACATAAACAGACAAATGATAAGTTGAGACCAAAACCTAGAGTTTTCTACTAAATTACCAACTAATCAGACCCATAAGAGACAACAGCCACAAAATGAAAGTAAAAAGCAGCTTGTGAGGAAAGATTTTTTACTTTGAGGAAAAAGGAAGAAAGTTTAATACGGACGTAATTGTGGGCTCACACCAATATGCATATTCTAGCAACATTTAACAGTAAAAGAGAATTAGAGCAAGGGAAAAAAAACAGTGAAAAAGGGACCTTTAGAAGTTTGATTCCAGATGAAAAGACAACTAACAGTGCAGCTATTGCCTTAATCCAAAGAACTGAACCAGAACTAGACCCAGAAATTTCTACTTTCTCTTACTATATTAAAACAGTAACACAGCATTTATGACTTGAACCCAAAGAACCCTATTGGGGGAAAAGCTCCTAGGTGCCCCGAAAGGACAAGTATAATCAGGAAATTGGCCAACTGGATTTTCTAGTGAAGAAGATGAAAGGAATTTATAAAGCAAAATGTTATCAACTTCAGAGCTTTATGCATCAAAGAGGTAACGTTATACGCTAAGCAATAATGGTCAAGCATTTACACCCGAGACGAAAAAGATGAATTTGAAGGACATAAAGAAAAATAAGGAAGCTTACATTATTTACTCTCAACTGAAGACAAATATGTATATGCAAAAGCAAGAACAAGCAAACGAGAGTATATAAGCACCCAAGCTACACTGGCAAGTAAGAGCTACCCCATGAGTCTATTATTGTAGGGACTTCAAAAGGGTGAAGTGGAAGGAATTATGCAAGTGGATTTCATAAAATATCTTGCTTTATCCCCCCTCATAAAAGACTAGATTTAGCTGTGAACAAGAGTCTGAAAATCTACATCAGACCTCATATCTCTTCATCTGATATATGGCCAATGAAAATGAATTAGCAACTTTAATTTTGATAACAAAACTTATGAGCAACTAACTTTTTATATATGGTCTTTCTTTTGTTGCAAGCAAAAAGTAGCTTTGATAGAGCAATGGGGAACAAAGTCTGCATCTACTTTACATTGCTGAATCAATGGGGAACAAAGTCTGCATCTACTTTACATTGCTGTACGCATGATAATGAACTGATGGTGTCTGTGACTGGCCTAATCAAGTCGTGAACCTCGTTGATCTTCCTGCATAGGAGTCATCAATATTCAATAATGTGATGAGTTATGGGTCCAATTTGTTCTGGCTTATTATAAAATAATGCTAAGCTCATAGTCAAAATCTGTAGAGTGTCATATTGTTGGATAGTTTGTGACTAATTTAATTTTCGGGCTATACCTTTTCATTCAAGTAATGTGAACTTAGAACTGATCAGCAGACCCATAAAAATTTTAAACTTTAATCTAGTACCTCTTAAATTCAGTGAATTGATTAGCAAGTCATTTTCCACCATAAGGGCATGACATGTTAATAACATGGCCTAACGAGTCCACACGCATGTCAACACAGTGATCAACCTTACCACCATGTTAATAACGTGGCCTAATGCTCGTGAACCACTGCAGCAACACCGCCTGCGCTCGCTCCATCTTTCAAGGCTTTCTCAAATTCTTCTGGTCACTTAAGGGGCACAAGTCTTGACCTGTGTATGTTTAGCTCGTCTGTTTTCCAACAAAGGAAACTTTTGGGAAACCAATGGGATCATTTCCTGTTGCTAAACTTTCAATGCCTTTAATGGGGGAAGAAAGCTGCTCCATTGTGAGGATTGAGGTCAGGCTTGCAATGTAGCTTGAGTTGATTATTAGAACTACAAATAGCCATATGATTAGCACAAACCGACCAAGCGTGCTGACAGTGTTTTCTTCCGCATATGTTACCAAGGAATAAGATCAGTCACTTGTATGTAATGCATAACATAAGTTTCTTTGTGAATGAACAAGTCAAGCAGGATGGACTTACTGTGGGAAAAGAACAAAGTTGAAAAGCTAAACCTGCAGAACTCGAAAGAAAAATGTTATATACTCCATTTGGGAGCCTTAATTGAAGAGGTGAAGATAAACTGCCTCAGAACATATTCAAAACTGCATTTGGATATGTGGATTTGAGTACTAACCAAACAACAGTCACACGTTGTTTTCTTGGAGGGCCCCGGAAATCCTCGTTGGTTTGGTGCTCCAAAATCCCAACAACTGCTCCCACAACTAGGAAGAAAATACATGTGACACCCCACATCATTGGAGTAAAAGGTCTCAGAAAGGCCCAAGCACTAGAGTTCAACTTCCTTAATGTAGCAACTACAACTAGCCCAGACTCAATATATGGCTGTGTAAAATCTGCAAGTTTTGTTCTGCTACTGGTGATGGCGTTATCTCCTACAACACCGTCAAGCTCCTGCATAAATAAGATAGTCCACAGAATAAAAAATGTAAAGGCAAAAATAAGACACATACTAATGTCAAGCAAAGTCTAAACTGAGAAGGTTTTGCAACTTATACTCACACCAATTTGGATCCTGCGCAGAAGTTTTTCCGGGGTTTTTTCATCACCCCAAAACGGGACAAATTTATATGGGACACCATATGGTAACTCATTCAATGCAGCTTGAAAGACTTCAATGCAAAAACCAGTTATATCAGTACCTTTTACTCTCACAAACTCAGGATAGTTAACTCGATCTGGGACTCTAAACCTGAGCTTTCTTCCATTGTCTGGGAAAACCCACCCACGAGGCTTCTGAGTTGTTTGTCCTGGCCAGATGACGCTGTATAGTTGTTGAGTACTTGTACTGGAACCATTCGATTGCTGCTTCCTTTGGGGCTTTCTCTGGAGGGTCCACTGATAGGCCAGAAGAATTGGACCAATATCCAACAGTCCTGGTCCCTGTGCCAATCACATTGATGACTTCAAATGCAGGATTAATCAAGTCCCCGTAGAAAAACTCCAGCAACCGATGCATAATTTTTCAGGCACCAAATTTCTTAAGCTAAACATACACTAACAAAAAACAAATGTCCTCCTGGGCTTTTAGCCCTCCTTGTTACCAAAAAAAAATAAATGGTCCTTGGGCATGATGGTCAATTCCTTGACTCCTCCAGTGCAGAAGTTGGGAAGATTAAAGGTTGAAAATTGATATTCACTAGGAGCTTTTCTGGAAAATAGTAAAGAGTTTACAATTTTAACTTTTAGCCATATTCTCTCCATGCACACACAGTCCACTTGTATAGTGCCATCTGCTCTGTACTCTTTTTCATCAATTCATGATTTCGTGCAAGGAAATGCAAAGAAGTAAAAAATCCTTGAACATAATCCATTGCCACTTCCCCGTCATCCACAGGTTTTGTGCCACATGACTATAAAAAGCTACTTTTTAAAAGAAAGGCACTACAAATAAAGCCACCTCAAAGTTGCTGAATCATTGTCGTCATCAAAAATAAAAGTTGCAAATCCGTTGCCATTGTCTAGACTCAAGTATTACATGGAAAGATACGAGGTTTGATATAGATTCAGATTATTTTTGGACCACCCTGTTATAAAGTGTGACCATCAAAGCTAAATCATAGCAACATAATTAAAGAGGTTAACTATTTGCTGAGGAGGGGGGATACCTATTTGAAAAACTCCTTCCACTTCACTCTTTTGAAGTCCCTGCCTTGATAGAGTCACAAACCCTTTTTTTTGGCTTCTAACTCATTCAAGATAATTTGAACTTAGAACTGATGAGAAGATCCATAAAGTTTTGAACTTTATATCTAGTGCCTCATAAATTCATTGAATTTATTAAATGTTTGAACTTTGAATTGAATGGACTAATTTAGCATGTTCCTCTAATATATTATGAGTTGGAAAGCTGTTAGCAACACTTTGTGCCATTACTTTTTCTTGTCTAGCTATATGCTGTCTTTATGCAATTTTGAGCAAAATTTTGGATTTTGGGCACCCTTATACAAACAGAGAAAGACTTTTATAAAATATGGATAACACGATTTTATTATTTCTGACTAATAATGTTATAACACACGTGACAATACTTTCATGTAATATAATATTATTGGTTAGAGATAACAAAATAATATTATCCACATATGTCATTTGATTGATTGCTTCATTGGCTTTTTAATTTCTTCAGCTATTTAGGTGTGGCATCTTTCTAATATAAGAAAACCACAAACAGCCGCGTAGGAAAAGAGAAACCCACATTTTCATGTGACAGAACAGGATGAAGTGTAAAGAATCCAATGGTAGCTTCAAAGAGATCCAAGATTAAAGAACTACCACAATAATACAATAATGCAATCACAAAAGGCGTACACGTGTCAGTACCCCAACTCCTTTCCGG